CCAAATTTGGCATACCCTCTGGGGCAACATTTTCGCACCTTTCCTGAAAATTTTAAGTCCCAGTCTTTTCAGGTCAGGTCACCAGGTCACAAAACCGGTGCAAGGTCAGGGGAAAATTGGACTATGTAGCTTAGCGGCAACTGAATTCCAGAGTTCACTAAAATTGGTAACAAAGCATATCATTCGATGCGCACGGACGTCCTGAGTTTACTGGTACTATTTTTTTTTGCTCTATCTTTACTAGGTAAAAAGTTATAAGCGAAAAACTTTTAACGTGTTTTAGCAAAATTTTTGCACTCATACCCCCAAATTCCAAAAAAACCCTAAATATTGACTTAGAGTCAACAAACTTTCACAGGGGCGAGATCTCCTATGGACCCACCTACCCTGTAAATTTGGCGTTTCGAAGTGCCATAGGCTCCTAGCTGAGACACGTAGTGGCACGCGGTAGCAGGTGTTTGAATCTTTAACCCTCGCCAGGCGAGGGTTAAAGATTCAAACACCTGCTATCGCGTGCCACTACGTGTCTCAGCTAGGAGCAGAGTTAGACGGGGTGAGAGGTGTTCTCTCCCCCCCCCCCCCAGCCAGTAGCGGCGGAACACCTTCAATTAAGGGGGCACTGCCGACTTTTGGTCCCATTCTTTCCATGCAACGCCTATGGGCGTTGCATAGGCGTTGTAACGCGTTGTTAACGTTGCCCATAGGGCTAATGTTAAAATGTCAAAATCAAAGGGGGCACGGTGCCCCGGTGCCCTCCCCGTTCCGCCGCCTATGCCCACAGCCCGGCGTAGGTGGCGCCCAGCACCGGCCCGGTGCGGATTTAAAAACAAATTTCAATATTTGAAACCCAGACACCACAATATCCCTGTCATGAATAAATACTCGTTGCTGTTCGCTCTTCTTCGTACCTACGATTTTACAACGCCAGAGCGCAGCTGAGCCATTGGCATGAGCCATACAATGCTAGTCTCCTACAAGTCGGTCAGCATCACTGCACAACGGACTCTGACGTCACTGTCGCATGCTCGCATCTACTGCATGGATGCGTCATCCAGAGCGTGAACAAACACGTCAGGCCGTCCCAGTCCGCCAGCGGAGAGCAGAGGACACTGAACACCAACCGGTCTCATCCAGTGACGGACAGAGATTCGCCACCCAGCAGACGGTCGGCTGGGTCTGAGTGATTCACGAACTGGTATTTTGCAGCCTTCTGCAGCCTTTCGGTCCAAGGACGCCTTATCTGGAGATTGCGGGAAATCCTGTCTGACACCAGTGCGGGCGACCTTCAGTGCAAGTTGCAGCACGCACTGTGTGCGGCTCGGGACTGAGCTGTCTGCCAACAGGAGGAACTAGGCTGTAGAGGGAACGAATATTAGGGAACCGAGGGGATATGGCGACCCGCACTGCCGCTGTCATCGCTCCAGCTCTGAATCACGGTTCATCCGAGACGCATTCCGGAGTTCTACCGCTCCTGCTGCAATACGCCAACCTGATTGGCCGTAATCTATTCGTTACGCTGTAGAGGAAGTCAGGTGGGAACAAACAAATTATCGCAGAAACAATTGGATTTTGTCGGTTTATTAACACCAAAAGCGGTACATGTTGGTATCTGGTGAGGGCAATACGTCGCGACGTCTACCCGACGCGCTTTCCAGATTAATCATCGATAAATCCGTGTGCAGTGAGATGTCGCACATCTAAGAGTCGTAACGATATATCTGTAAACATCTACCAAAAGGATCACAATCCATTGAGAATAACATATTTCTGCAAGCAAGATCTAAAAACGAACACCAATAATTTCTTTGGGTGAATGCCACACGTTCTACCTCAGAACGTATCGATCACACCGCTGCTGCGATAGTCCACCACATGAAGCAAGCGCCACCGCCGAAGCGGCGTCTGACTGTGGCGCGGCGGCCGGCTGCCGACGGCGCCTACTGGCCGCGGCGCGGCACCGGCTGCAGCACGTCCAGCACGGCGCTGATGTCGCCGCCCTTGGCCTGCAGCAGCTGCGTCAGCCAGCCGCCGTCGTTGGTGAAGCCCATGGCGCTCATGGCGTCCAGTGCACGCTGAATGCGCGGCTCCAGCGGCACAGACGGCTCCGAGGCAGGCGGCGCCGAGGCAGCGGCCGTCTCGGCCGGGACAGCAGCGGTCGGGGTCGGAGTCGGGGTAGCGGCGGTCGGAGTCGGGGTCGGGGTCGGAGTGGCGGCGGTCGGCGGTGTCTGGGACGGTGTGGCCACGGCCGGGGCCTCGGTGGCCAGGTCGGGGTAGACGCGGCTGCGGGCGCCGGAGCTGGCCTCGGAGGGCGTGCTGGTGCCGCTCACCATGGTCCAGTCGTCGGCCGGGTCGTTGGGCACGTCCTCCACCGTCACCGGGATCACCTTCTCAGCCGGCGCGGCGGCGGCCGGCTCCGTCTGGCTGGGCACGCCATCCGCCACCGCAGGCTCGGCCTCCATCTTCTCAGCCGGAGCCGGGGCCGGAGCAGCGGCAGGAGCCGAAGTCGTGGCGGCCGCCGGAGCCGGAGCTGTGGCGGCGGCCGCGGCGCCGGCTACCTTGGACACCGTGTTCGCGGTGGCGGCGGTGGCAGCGGTGGCAGCAGCGGCGGCGGCGGAGGCAGCCCTGGCAGCTGCGGCCGTGGCGGCCTTAGCGGCGGTGGTGGCGGCCGCGGCGATGTCCTGGGCGGGAGCCTGAGCAGCGGCCTGACGCTGCTGGCCGCCGGCCTCCTCGGCCCGCTTCTGACGAGTCTCCACGCCGACGTCCACGTCGATGCCGAACGGATCCAGGCAGGCAGCGATCGTCTGACCCAGCTCCTCCAGGCTCTTCTCGGTCCAGCGGCCGGCCTCGGCGCCCGGGCCGCCGGCGCCGCCCTCCGGAGCGAACCCGCCCAGCGCCGACATCGCCGAGTGGATCGCCTCGAAGAAGTTGCTCGGACGGGGCGCCGATGCTCCGCCGCCGTCCGTGCCGCGCTGGGCGGCGCGCTCGGCGCGACGCTCGGCCCGTTCAGCGCATCGCTCCGCCTTTTCGGCTCTCTTCTCGGCCTTGTACTCGGCCCTTTCAGCTCTCTTCTCGGCCTGGTGCTCGGCCTTCTCGGCGCGCCGCTCGAAGCGGCCGCAGTGCGGGGCGCCGGGCATGCCGGCCATTCCGAAGCCTCCCCAGGCGGCCGGGCAGTGGCCGCGGCGGCCGCTGCGGCGCGCCTGCCGGAACACGGGCTGCCAAACGCGGTCCGGCGTCGGGATGCGTAGCATCAGGTGCTCCGGGTGGAGACAGCGCGACTCGCAGGCAGCGCACAGGTCAAAGTCGTCGCACGTCATGCACTTGTAGCGGTGTCCGCGGATGGTCTGCTCGCAGCCGTCACAGGAGACGCCAGAGTGGATGGGACCGTCGGCGGGCGGTGCTGGGGCGCCGCGGCTGGGGACCACGTGCAGACGAAGCGTCTGCTGGCCTCCCACCTGCAGCAGGCTCACCAAAGCCACCAGCAGCTCTTCATCAGATCCAATAGTGATGTTGTCACCATCAGCATCTTCCCAGCACACATCAAATGACTTGCGCATCAGGCTGGGGAACACTACACGCAACTTTCCCTGCAGGTAGGAGAAGCTTGTCGCTGCGGACGCATCTAGGCCAAATCTTCGGATTTCTTGGGTGTCACCCTCTCCTATGAGGTATGCTTTCACTGAAATGTTCTTGCCATCCATGGTTGGAAACCTGTAATGCAGAAACAGGGAACAAAATCAACACTCTCACAGGTCACAAACAATTCTGACAGGGCTAAGTCGATGGACTCTAAGGTGACTCTGACTCAGACTCTGACTGAAGCTTATAAAATCAACTCTGACTTTGACTATATGGCTTCAGACATTGCTCATTAATTCCAAACAATGAATTCAAATTTCATTTCAGAATTTTTTTCCTGCCTGATGTGACCCTTTCAACATTTCAAGGCCTTGCATTGCAAGAATTACTTTTTAAATAACATGCAGGAATAAAAATATGTTCTGACACACCAGCCATCTTCAGCTTTTTCAATTAAAATGCGTCCGAATCAGTGGCATATGTCATTAGCTTCAGCAAAATCTCAAAATCTGATTTTGAAAGGTCAATCAGCAAAATATTGTCAAGCAACCAGGTAGGTGTAGCCAGGGCATGACTGAGCCATGCAGTGTTGGTAAGATTTTAGCGACCCAAACTCCCACTCTGGGCAAAACTGCTGACTCCAACTGACTTCAACTCTGACTCTGATTCCGCAGCCCTGATGCTGACAAAGTTTTATGATGAAAGGGGGAAAGCAATTCATGTTTCACTACATCTAACAGCATTAACTGAAGAAGTTGGGTAGTTAGGTACCTACTCATCAAAATTCCAAAGATAAATAAAAAAGTATCACTGTTGATTTGGACGATTGTCCAAACCAGAAATGCAAATAGATATTTGAAAAATTGAAAATATGAAAACTGCAAAATACCTAGAGTTCTGGTTAGGATGCAAGCAGCTCTTGTCCGACGTTCCGAAGTAGCGCAAGGGCTCAGCGTTATCCTTCTCAATCCCGTAGCACGAATGCAAAGCTCGACAACGAAGGCGACTTTAAATACCACCTACCTCTCCTCTGCCATCGTCGCCAGTGACTCGTCAGCCCGTCAGCCCAATGTAAGCTTCGATGGAGCCTGACCGGTCCAGAACGTGCGAGAACCTGAAAATCCGCCAGTCACTCACTTATCCACTGCGCAATTCACGAGGTCAAATGACTTATCTACAAAATCATGACACATCAAAATAAAGTGTTCTCTTGTTTCTCAATATACGGCTTTCGAATCCATGGCTGGCCAATAGATAGAGAGTAAGCAGCTCACAGAGAAAAATACTGGCAGCTGATTGGCCGACTCAGTGAACATATTTCAGCTACAGATATGCCGCGCTTATTGCATTAAACCAGATAAACACGAAAAATAAGTAAAATGTTCTAAGAGGAGCTAATACTGTTTGCTGTGAAACCAGTCTCTTTGGTGATTCGCGCAATGCTGAGAATGCACCAATAAGACTCCTAGAAGTATCACTGACGTCACAAACTCTTTAATAATTACCAATGAAATGCCGAAAAGCTCCACTGAAATTATCAATTAATGTTGTACCGAACAGCTTCAGTTACAACACGGTATATAGCACTGTATTGGTATGTAGTTACATGACGAGCGGCAAGTCCACATCAGGATTCCAAGCTGCTGCGCGCCCTAACTCTTCAACAACAACAACCCATCAGGATTCTTACAGATAGGCCAGGCATTTTTCATAGGCAGGTAATTATTTTGTAGTTTGACTTATGAGATATTTGTTTTCTTAAAGGGACCCTCCCACCTTAACATTAGATTTGAGTTGAGATAGCCAAAATGGGGTCCCTGGCTCACAATTACCGGTTTCGGCACTCACAACATCGAGAAATGCCTTAAATCGGAAATATTGAATTTCAAAATTGCAGCATTTTGATTCAGAGGGGCTAATGCATAGGAATACCCCTCTGAATGTGTGACGTCAGCGCAGATATCTAACGATTTTTAAATGTTTGACTAAAACGTTTTGTAGCACGCGGTGGTATATGCTGCTTTGCGCGCAACAAATGCCGCACTTTCAAATAAAGTCGCTATAGGAACAGCGGAGATCCCAAAAAGTAAACAAAAGTAAAAATATAATATCTTGAAAACCGGTGAATATTTTTCGATGAAATTTGGTAGATATTCGTTTTTGCTCTTTCTGAGCCGAGCGACATCACTTTCATGCCAATTCATTTACTTTTTTGAAGGTGGGAGGGTCCCTTTAAGGCTGTGCAATCAATTATTTTCCATTTCTGAAATTTTCAAAATGGGGGTCTGAGCGCTGGACGCCACAGGGGCTCATCCGCTGAAATTCAGTGCATGCAATTTTGTGCCATTATTTTTTGCTCAATTAGCCCAAAAGTTGAAGCAAATTTGGGTAGCTGGTCATGAAGCAAGCGTCATACTTGCTTTTTGCTACCAAGGAGAGGTGCTATACCGAGAGTTGAGATGCTTTCTAATCGTAGGCGGCGGAACGGGGAGGGCACTGTACCCCCTTTGATTTTGGCATTTTAACAGTAGCCCTATGGGCATTGCATGGAAAGGATGGGACCAAAAGTCGGCAGTGCCCCCCCCCCTTGATCGAGGGTGTTCCGCTGCTACTGTTTTAATAAAGTCGAACTAAGCCTAACCAAGCCTGACCTAACCTTACCTACAGGCTACAACCTGTAGCTGCTGCTGCTTCATGCAGCTACCTACAGGCTACAACCTAGTTAAACCTACCACCTAAAACCTAAAACCTACAACTTAACCTACAGCACCTCACCTTGGTTGCAAAAAGAAGTGTGATGCCTGCTTGATTACTACCCAAATTTGTGCCAAATTTTAACCTTCTTACTATTTCCACACATTCACATGCCTACATATGTTAAAAGATGTTAAAAATTGAAGAAAAAACATGAAGAAACTAGATTAAAAGCACGTTGAACAAGAATGCTTCTGCCACAACTCACAGCTCAGAGCTCACAAGTTCATAATTCCTCCAAATTGAACTGAGAGAGGACTGGAGACACAAAGTTAGGTTATAGAAATGACACACAAACATACATTTGTAGGTGATAGTCTACACCTTTACCTACCAAAAGGCACATTTCCTTTTGTCAGAATCTCCTTCTCCATACTAAATGGCATGGAAAACAACCAAATAAATAGCATGGAAATACAATGCTCATTGCCATTGCTCATTGGCAGACCATTGTGTCCTCTATATCTCACTTTATTGGACAATAATGTGCCAGTAGAGCAGTTCAGTATGGTACCTACCACATTAGAGACTGCATACAGCACAACCTGCACCCTAAATATATTTGATATATATATATATATATATATATATATATATATATATATATATATATATATATATATATATATATATATATATATATATATATATATATCATACCTACTATGGTAAATTTGAACTATGCACAGGCTGTGTGCACCTGAAACAACAATAATCTCTACAAAATCTCATCAGAACTGCAATGTTTTGTCTTGCAGTCTGGGTTTAGGGGATGTGTTTGGTGTTGCCAGTAGGCAGTAGCCTTGTAGCCTAGATTAAAAATTGATTAAATGCATGATTTTATGACTCTAGCAAATTTTGCAATGCACCATTTGTTTCTTTATATTTCTTGCCCTAAACAACTTGAACTCTTTACAGATAAGGTGGATTGATCAGATCTGCAGTGTTGAGCTGCCTATGTCTGCTGCATTGCCTGTTTTGATGTTGTGCAGCAGAGATGTAGACTGCAGGTTGTGGGGCATCTACAGCATACCTTTGATGGCACACTGCCCACTGGTGTAGGCTGGACTAACTGATCATGATGTGAAGAGGCATTTGCTTTGCATGTGTGAAGGCTGAAGCAGCATAGTGACCTACTTTATTTAGACTATTTCCATAAGAAAGAACCAAGAATTAAATTGTTACCAATGTTTTAACATGTTTTTTCATGACAAATGTGAGGATTAAGAGACCAGTCAGGCTAAGTTTAAGTGCACAAAGAGACAGTTATCTAATTTGATTATAGGGATACAAGAGTTTTGATCTTGGTAGGTAGGGGAGAGCGGGGCCAGTTGAAACACGGGGTCAGATGAAACATGGCTTTATTTTCAACAGTATGCAACATATGGCGTTGCCGACACCACTGCGCATCCGCGCTCGACCACTTCCTTTGTCAACGGCGTTTGGGCGGCAAACGGACGGTAATTTTGATTTGACACTTGTTTTTGTGTTTTTGAGGGGCGTTTGGGAGAAATCGTTCTTATGAATATTTTGTGATATCTCATATACCTTTGTTTGCTGAAAGAAGAACTCCTGGCTCCGGAATAGCACCTTATTTGGCCCTTCATTCAGCATGATGCCGTCACTCCAGCTCGTTTGACATGTGCTTTGCGGCGCGTGCGAGATGGCGGGAGCGGATGGGGTCAATTGAAACGCTTCTCTGAGGGTCAGTTGAAACAGGGCCACAGGCCGTTTCAATGGACCCCGGTGACCTTTGCAATGGTTATTGTTCAGGGGCTGTAAACATTAAAGGAAATAGTCCACCTTTGAAATGAGCTTTTAAACTGAAATAGTAGTTTAGTAGAGCTCAATTTTTGACCCCTTTTTCTCCAGCCTTTTGCTTGAAAGCACACTATAGCCTGAGATCTTTCTCATTTTTCTCATCCGCCCATTTTTCCATAGTCTATGTACTTTATGTCACCTATTATGAGGAACTTTGCACTTTTAGCTTTCCAACGACCTATTGAATGTAGCATTTCGAAAAGTAAACCGGACAAAATATCTCCTTAAGAAAGTGGCCTTAAAGAGGAAAACATCCCATTGTTAAGGATAGGTGTAACTGACCCCATGGGCTGGTTCAATTGACCCTCGCATCGGGGTCATTTGAAACGGGCGTAGAGCAGTTTTATAAGCATGCGTTTGGCAGCAAAATATGTTTGAAACATAATTTTACATATCTTAAAATAAAGCCAAAAGAGCATATTTTTTCATGGCATTGTGCATTTTTCGATATGACAACTAGATCTCGCTGTGCATGTCAATATATAAAAAGTGGTTCAACTGGCCCCGCTCTCCCCTATCTCAAATTCAATCAGTCAAACAGTCAAACAAACAGGGACAGTTTCTACTTTGATAAAAGGGATGGAGGAAATTTGATGAGGGTATCTCAACTTCAATCAATTAATGCTTGGTGGAAACTGCAATGCACCTTGCCTTCTCCACCCCATGTCATCATTATAACTGAGCATTAGCAAACATATTTTTTTAATTTTATGCACATGGTTTCCTATTTTATATGCAAGTGTAACTCAGCAACAGTTACCTATCTTAACCATCATTTTCCCTATTTACACCAATGACTAATAACCAGTAAAACGCCTTTTGGGCGAAGAACGAGCGAGCGAGATAGTGAGCCCTGCACGTGCAGAAGGGCGAGAGGGTACTTCCAACGGGCTTTTGCAAAGCACCCTTCTAACCAGTCGCTAGCGGTGTGCCAAATTTGAACGCAATCGGCCCAGCCGTCCTTGAGATCTGGAAGCGACATTCTGCACGTGCGCACGTGCAAACGGGGTCCAAAATGACTTTTGCACGGCACCCTACTAACCGGTCCCAACCGTGTACCAAATTTGAGCGCAATCGGCCCAGCCGTTCTCGAGATCTGGAAACGCCCCCTGCACGTGCGCACGTGCAGTAGCACCCTAACCGCAACACATGGGAATGCATTGCCTGGTGGGTGCCTACCTGTATGCCAAGTTTCAGCGAAATCGCCCCAGTAATTACCGAGTTATTAAAATGGGAACAAATTTGACACCTCTTATTGTTGTATTTTGCACGTGCACTGGGGGTGACCCACATGCATCGAGAGTATCCTATTTTTGGTAGAAGGGATGCAGCTACCCTACAAAAATTACCGCAAGACCATCGCCCAAGCGGCTGCTGAGATATGAGCCTCTCAAAATCACTACTTTTGCAAAACAGCTTGAACACCCTTGACTTTTCACGTGGCACGTGCCACGACGGTCACTGAGATGTATCAAAAGTAGTCAATTACGGGGTAGAAGGGATGGGGCTACCCAGCAAAAAAGACCGCAGACCAATCGGTCCAGCGGTTGCTGAGATATAAGCCTCTCAAAAGCGTTACAGGCCGGGCCGGGCCGGGCCGGGCCGGGCCGGGCCGGGCCGGGCCGCTCATACTGAGATTTTTCCGTTATATTGAAATGACTTCGCTTCGCTCGCTGCGCTCGCTCGCTCGTAATAATCTCCCAGTTTAAAGCATTTTGCAACGTTTTATCTTTTTTCATCACGGTTTCAGCTCTTTTTTTCTAGAAGTTTTATTCATCTACTATCTTCTCTCGCATGTTCCTGCTGCAGGTTCTGCCAGGAGGGTAGCAATGTCGGCTGATGAGGCCCGTCTGCCGGAGGCCGAGCGGCTGGCGGCGCTGGAGCGCGAGCTGACGGCGCTGCACGAGCTGTGCCGCCGCTCGGAGCTGCCGCACGACCAAGTGAGCCGCGCACTGAGGCCGCTCGTCTCGGCTGTCGACTGGTCCACGGGCATCAACAGGGCTCGGTAAGACCATAGTGCTATTTCTTACACTATGGTAAAACGTAAGACCTAATCGGCACGAGGTGTTGAGGATTTATGCTTCTAATACGATTTTAACTTTTTGATAGATAGTGTTTTATGTGAATGTCTTTGTTCTTCTGTCTACATCCATTTGATATATCTTGTGATGACTAAGTTGAAGCTCTAAATGTTTGAGTTCAAAGACTAGCGACATCAGTCCAGTTTACAGCTGTTTTGCTCAGTGCTCGTCCAGGATAATCAACAGCATCAATCTGTGCCGACGGTCGAGGTGCGATGAGCCGCTTGTGAGAACACCCCCATGATGCCGCCGCCGCGTGCCGGTAGGTACGTGGGGCGCGTGGTTGGCGTACTGCTGGTGCTCTGTGCCGCGCTGTACCTGATCGGCTCCGCCAAACCCGTGCAGCAGGCGGCACACTTCTACACGCGCGTCGCACTGGTCAAGGTAGGTGACGGCCGCTCATGATGCTGCTTTGGACTGTAACATTAATCTGGGGTTGTCTTTTTTAATGTAGTTTTATTAACACAATTCACAGAAAACACAAACAAAAATAAGCATAAAACATTTTTGTGCTCCCATCGGCGACCCGCCTGGCTAGGCCGGGACGGTGTCAATCTGTGACATATGCCGTCCCGGCCCCGGGGAGAGCTGTGGGATACCTCCCCAGCCGGGGAGATCTGATGGCTACCTCCCCGGCGCTCCAGGCGGGCCGCCAGCCCCCGCCCGCACCGCCCGGAAAGCAACCCTGGGCGGTGCCCCCTAACCACCGACCGGGCGAGCGCAGTGTCGACCCGTAGGTCGGCGCTCCGCACGCCCGGCCGGCCGACCGGCCTCTCACAGGAGGGGCCAGTCCCGGGATCTGGGGTTGTCGATGCATGGACTTCCTCTTTTTAGCATACCCACGCTGGTCGGAAGGGGACTTTACTTCTTCAGCTCGCTTTTGACAATCCTGCTCTGGGCATGAAATATGAATCGACTGCTTATATGATTCAAAATACAGGCTAGGTGCACCCTCTCACTATCCCCTGGGTTACATGCTACGACTTTGGGTGTTGACTCTTCATATTCAATCATGCTTAGTCTGACTGTATGCAGTATGCACCAACTTGATAATTGGCCTGTGTGTGAATACCAGTTTTGTGTCTGTCAGATTCTGCCGTACTGGGACTGGACCGGCCTGTACACTATGACGTGTCTGGTGGAGAATCCCCTGTACGAGGAGACGGACCGCCCGGTCAGAACCGAGGACTCCTGTCAGGTGAGGTGGCGCCGCTACTGGGCGATGTCTGGAGATCGGAAGGCGTCTCGAAATCACCATTCCGCGGCGGATGATCTTATATTTGCTCTACAAATATATTTCTACATATGACTTCTGCATATTTGCTGTAGAAGTCATGCAGTCACATGCCGTTTCCTAGTAATGATGGTGCACTCGATAATGAACTCACTGCTCAATGCTCATGGCGACATTAATAACATGAGATTACCAAAAGTAATTTCGGGAATGTATTCATTGTGCCAGTCATCCTTGCAATGTCACCAACTCACTGTTATGCAAGCATCATTTCCAATTCAAACGCGCACTGCTGATAGTCGCTTTTGGCAGTGCCGGTGACGGGTCCGTGACCCCTGCCGGCCTCCGTGGGGTGCAGGAAGGGAACGTCTGCCCAGGGGTGCTGAGCCTGAATCCATGAATACACCCGGCTGGTCGCAGCGTGACTGCATAATTCGGGTAGACTGCACGGTCGGAATGGCAGCGTATTAGAGATAGCGGACCGGTCCGATTTCCAATGAGCCGCGCCCGGCCCAAATACGGCCCGGCCCGCGAGCTGTACGGACGACGAGGCTCCCGCAGCCGCACAGAAAGTCAGATAGATTGTCCCCGATGGTCGCATCGCACAGCTGTGCTGGTAACTTGAAAAAGGGCTTTGATTAACACGTTTCACCAGCCTGCGGTATATATTGCCAGTTCCCGTTTTACTGAACAATATAATCGCACCATATGCCTAAATGTAACGTCTTTTGTACATTTTTATTATCCTTTTTGTGTAGCTTTTCACTGATAATAACGTCAGCCTCAGATATTCACACTTATTTTGCGGTAAGCATAGCAATAAGCTATATTTTGGCTATTTCCGATCTAGTTTTCACGACTCTACCCGATGCGTGAGCTATTCAGCACCACTGGCAATCTGCTGTGGTGCCGACCGGCGACCACACTGCTCCAACACCCCCCGTCCATCACTCTGTCCCGTGTAGCAGGGAGGGACGGGAGCGCTATCTCCCAGACTCAGCCGCAGACCCCGGCTGCCCCCGCCCCCCCCCCTCCCCGTCCCCAGTCGTGGGCTGGCATCACCGTGGCCCGGGGCCGGGATAGGGGTGAGCCTTGGGCGTCGTACAGATCGATGGCGTTTACTGCGGTCCCGACCGCTACTGGCATTGCCTGGAGGCTGGATCGGAGGTGGGGTCAGTGATTCCTCCGGTTTGGAATCGATTCGCCGGCCGCCGTGACCGGCTGGACGGCTTCGTTTTACTATCGCTACACCACAACCATTGGCTGTACGATAGGATGCCAGAAACAAAATACAGATTAAGAAGGAAACATCGATTGCGTTGAATCACTCTTTTGCGAAGAATTCATTTATTTTCTGGATTTAATTTGGACTATTCCAGCCCCAATCGCTGTAACGATCGCCGTCAAAACGGAGGACTACATTCCGTAAATATATCCTTTTCTAGCACGGCAAGGCAACCCATGTGAACACTTACGCTAAAGATATTGATCTTTCACACAGGCTCAGAAATTAGTGTCAATGCCGTAAAGCTGCTGTGTGCCTTAATTGCTCATCGAAGTCGCTCCGGGCTTAGCACAAATGAATCTGTACTGAAACGATAGGTTCAAAGCGTTGGTGCCGTTTCCAGACAGTGTCGGGAACCAAATGAGTACTGCTTGCCGAATATTCCCCAAGTAAACCGTCGATTCAATTTTTTTTTTTCAGTGATTATTTCTCTAGGGCCTAGGCGATAGTTGTAGTTTATTCGGGAGTTATTACTCGATTGGAATTGCTGCTGAACCATAACCTCGTAAGGTACTCAACGCACCTAAATACCCATTTATAATTTTAATTTTTATTTATACATCTTTTTCTTGCTGTCGCTGTGTTTCTCCGTTTCCTCTCTTCGCTTTACTCGTCTCCCCACCCTCGCTGTTTTTGTATCTCTCTTGCCTGAGCCTGCAGTCTCTGTCCGGTCCGCCTCCTGTCTGACCGCTCCCCTCCCGTCTCTCCCTAAGTTATGCGAGTCTCTGGACGAGCTGGAGCGCGTGTCGAACGTCAGCGCCGCTGTCGTCACGGACAACTACCTGCGCCTGGACCGGCCGGTGGTGGTGACGGACGGAACACGCGACTGGCCGGCCCTCGAGGACGGCGTGTTTGACCGTCACCGGCTCGTCAAGGTGGGCGACAGGGGATCGTTATGATGGCAGAATATCGTGGATCTCTAATTGCTTATTTATATCAGGTAGGTGGATATTGATTAATTTTCATCTCTGATAAGTTTTGATTTCGTAAGTCATACGTCGTCAATCTGCGAAAGTTATGAATGTTTTTGGGGTTTGTAAATACAACAACTTTTCTGTTTATCCTGTAGTTTAGAAAAGATTCATGGTACTCGTGACTCGTGAGGAAGAATTGTACAAATGCAGTCGATCATTGATTGTCCGACTATGTAAAAACAAAAACTAAAAACAGCGGCCCATTGTGTGTTTACATGGTGCCAAGTGCGGACAATGATAATAAGCTTCCACTTATTATAGCTCGTACAAATGCTCACTTCATTTGTAAGGTGCCTGTTCAACTATCACACCATTGGAGTGTTCCTCGGTTCCGGTCGGATATACGTTGACCGCTGCGTGTCCCGTTGTCCGCAGATGTTCAAAGACAGAGGACTGGCCGAGAGTCGGCCCTGTGAGCTGCTCACCAATCTGAAGGCCCGCGACGACATGCAGCTGCTGCTGGACAAAATGAGCAACCCCGTCATCAAGAAGTGGTTCGCCCATTGGTGAGTGAGCGAGGCGGCTGATGTTCAATGTCTTCAAAGAAATGTGATTGCTCTGTTCTATCCAAATGACTCACGGTTGTACTTGGCTCTATAATTTTTCTGCTCTATTATTGTGAAACCGTGACTTTTTGACTCGCTCGGTACACCTAGGAACACTCTTTTACCATGCCATATTGTTAACAAGGCTCAACTTTTACCAGAATTGAGCATTTATTTCTCTCGGTATTGTTTCCATGGCAATCATCACAAAGTTGTGAACTGGCACGGGAGGTATGACGGACGTCTTCTAACCGGTGCTCTGTTTGCCATGATTTTCCAGGGAGAACTGTGACAAGATGGCTGCCAAGGTGCTCCGTACGCTGTACCGTCGGCCGTACTTTCTGCCGGCAATGGTGGATACCACCGACTCCAACTGGGTGCTAGTCTCCTCAAACTACACGGGAAATGTCTACAAAATGGTGCGTACTGCCGGCCTGGTGGTGTGTGGACACTAGCTGCGTCAGCAAAGGTAGCATTTATGAACGGGTGTCATTTCAGATTACTGATCAAATGACGTGAGAATAGTCTTCGCACCACCATTGTTTCCCGTGTCTTTCACGGCTGCTGTATTTTCATGCTGCTGTTTTTACATAAACCTTTTGCTCACCTCTGTTTCCCGAGTCCTGCTGTATTTACATTCTGCTGTACTTTGTGTCGCCATTCGCTCAGCCCTGTTTCCCCGCGTCTCGAACAGCTTCCCGTGGTGAACGACATGGTGTGGATGGCGCAGCTGCAGGGCACCACAGGGGTGCGCCTGACGCCGCGCTCTCCGTGCACCAGCCTCTGTCCCGAGATTGTGGACACACTGCACGAGGGCGAGATCTGTAAGTCGGGGGAGACGAGTTCTGTGAGATAGGAGTGGGGAATAAGAAACCTCGGGGACATCTCCTGCAGGGAAGTGGAATAGAACTATTGGTGTACCGATGAAATGTCTGAAGTAGAGAAGGATGAATTGTAATGTGTGTAATGGAAGAATAGTGCCGGTAGTCACATGTTTTTGAATGGAAAATGGTGGTTCTGTGCTAAAGTCGTTTTGTAGCCATGCATTCTTCAAAGTTCCTGTAATTGCTAAAAACATCGATCCGCGATTTTAACGTCTAGGAAAGAGTTGAACTAAGGTCCAAATAAACAGAAGTTATTTTGTCCTACAGCTGCATGTGAACTTGTGCTGTAAATATTAGTCATGTTATTCTGTTGCCCGTTTCGACATGAGTCTCTTATCACGCTTCCCGTTTCATGCACCCCGGGCCCCGCTTGCGTCATGTGTGAGCTGTTCGGAACATTCGAGACAGAGGTCGATCGTCCTTTGACTTGTACCGGCGGCGCTGATGTGCGTGATTCACTGAGGGCCGTCATGTGTTTTTAGCTTTTGACCGATGACGAATGCCAATAATTACGAAATATCCAGCTTAGTGGCACCAAAGGCATAAATGCAGTGCCGCTGAATGATTGTGGTTATTTTTTCTTGCTAATCTTACATAAATTTAGAATATTCTGGTCTTTTGATCCAAATTCTAGCTAGAATGATTTGAGGCCGATGAGCGGTGTAGTCGCAAAGCGAAACTGGTCTCATTGGCTTGAATAGGATTGCACGACAATATCCAAGTTACCATCCAACGCAGCAGTGCTAACTGTATCCTAAGTCTGATTGCTAGGATGCAGTAGTCCCCATATTCTGGTGGTCCCTGGCCGTCCGGTTATTCAGTATGCTCTGGTCTGGTAGTAGGTATAGACCTCAGTTCGTTTGTTATATCCGATAAAATCCAGTGCGGCTGACCAGCGTCGATCTCTTCCTCTTCCCCAGTGATGTTTACCGACTTTCTCTGGATGCTGGAGTACTTACCGGGATATGGCACGGACAACGTGGCGGTGGGCGCCGGAGGCTACTGGGAGTGACCTCTGCGCTGACCTCTGGTGACCGGAGGTTACTCATGGAAGTGACATGTGCGCTGACCTCCGGTGGCTCCGCCCCGCTCGGCCGAACGAAGAGACCGCCGCCCACTGGACGGAGGAGGGCCCGACTACTGCAGCTTTGTGTATTCGTGCAATCGTGTTTGTGGCTTGTTTGTGTGGCGCTGGTGGCTGGTTTCATTGGTATGGTGCATGGTGGCAGCGGCAGAGATGTGCAGGCACATAGACGTGTGGCACTGCCTAAACTGCTGATTTAATGAGCTTCATATGTGCTCCGGCACATATTCCATTTTGCTTAGCAATGATGGCTAATAAAATTTGTTGCAATGCGACGTTGTTGCATCTTGGAAATAAATGTAAGCATATCACACCATGGTAAGTTTTCTTATAAAGGTGTGCTGCAGTGGAATGATCGGCTCAAACAAAACGAATGGACTGCCTGTAAGTTATTGCACAGATGCAGAGCTATCCGCTAAACTATATATGCAAGAGAAGATAAATAGGATTGATGTTGTAAACGACGGTTCGACGTAGTAATACGAATGGACATCATGAACGGTTGAACTGTTTGCTCTCTTCAGAGATTCGTGATTACCGGCTACCGCCATAATCCGTACGGGAGGGTAGGCCAACGGGAACTTCAAAGGGGCTTGAAGTTTAAAGGGACACTCCCACTTTAACATTAGTTTTGAGTTGAGATAGCCAAATTGGTGGCCAGGGCCTGCAAATACCGGTTTGGGCACTCACAACATCGACAAATGCTTTAATTCGGAGATATGGAATTTCAAACTTGCAGTTTTCGGATTCTAAGGGGCTAGTGCATTGGTATGCCCCCTTAGAATTTGTGACGTCAGCGGCGATCTAACGATTTTTAAATCTTTTACTAAAACGTTTGGTAGCACGCGGTGGTATATGCTGCTTTGCGCGCAACAAATGCCGCACTTTCAAATAAAGTCGCTAGGAACAGCGGAGATCCCAAAAAGTAAACAAAAGTAAAAGTCTAATATCTTGAAAACCGGTGAATATTTTTCGATGAAATTTGGTAGATATTCGTTTTCGCTCTTTCTGAACCGAGCGACATCACTTTCGTGCCAATTCATTAACTTTTTGGAAGGTGGGAGGGTCCCTTTAATGTTTTAGTGAAATTGCACGGCTGGAGCTCTGCGGACCGCGGCACTTAAAGAACTCAGAGGGTTTTCAAGATGTTAAAATTATAGTGATTCCTAGAGGTATAAAAGTAATAGTAGTAGGGTTGGGTTGATGGCAATATGTTGCTCTCGTGACTCGTTCTGCATATGAGATGAGAGATCAAACATTTTTTCAATATAAGGCACACATAAGTGGGCACACATAAGGCACACATGGACACACCTGCCCCTCTCCCCTCCCCAAAGTATCGTCCAAGTCCCAAGACCGCCTTTTTGGAATTGCAAGTGAATTAGGTAAGTCTCACGAATAGTGGTCATGTAACAAAATAGTAGCAGAGACCCTCAATGTTTTGTCGCAGCCACGCTATTTATGTCGCAACTTGTGTTGCAGCTGTGTGCGCGGCTTGAAAGTTGAGCATCAGTTCGCAGCGGAAGGCGGTGGAGGAGGAACAAGGGGTAGAAGGTAATGTGTGTGATTTATTAATTAAATTGCTCGTATTTGACTGATAATATCTTCGATAAGTTTCAGAGACTGTTTGACGATTCTAGCTTTCGTTTTCCGCAAACTAGGTCGCTTAATTAGGTCTCATGTAAGCTGAATGACTGTCGGTGTTCTGCTTGACGTCCGGCATGAACCTTGACCTAGAAGTGAAAGGCGTCGATCTCTGTGCTAGTTGAAGTGCACTGTTCACTCCAATTTTTGTGTGTGACATGTTTTGATAATATGCACAAACTGTCATAGCCAAGTGTGTTGAGTTTTGTGCAGCATGCCAGCTTAGCCACCAGTTTGCTGTAGTTCCGTGATATGCTGCTAATGCCTATCTGTTACCTACCTTTATCAATAAGTATACAGCCTGAGCTCAATGAGGAATCGCAGGTATACTTAGCAGTTACTGACATGCTAAATATTGGTATCTACATGCATTGAGCTAATATCCTTTTTATTTAAAATAGGAATCAATTGTTGATACGTTTAATTATATCTTGAAGTAATGTTTAAGCCTTCAGAGTTCGGGTTGAAAAAACCTTCAGAATGTTCTTATGTTTTTATATCTAAATGTTTGTCACACATTTGACTGCACCACTCCAACTCACAAAATCTGATGTCTGAGCTGATTAATGGGGTAGATTGATGACTAGAGGAAGTAGGAACAGTCTCTCATGATGATAATACCTACCCCAGATTCCTAGCACTCTTGTGCTATATAAGTACTAAAGTACCTACATGTTTGATATTTCTAAAAGAGATGTTATGCGGTTGGTGAGAGCAGCTACCATTTGAAATCAGCCAGTGAGAGGGACTCAGTGTCTGACCCATCTACTCCCCCTGCTCTCCCTCAAACTCTCCCCAGCTTTCATATCTACATATGTACTGTGGATGGCTTTTACCTCTTTCAGATAATTTCTTATTTTGTTTTCACTCATGTACTTATTTCTATCCCTCTGGTGGTTAAGATAAGGAGCCTATGTGCCCTCAATATGCTTCAAAATAATTTAAGCCTCAGTATTAACCCGGCCGGGCCCGGGGGGTAATCCCAACTATTGCAGCCCGGGGGGGGGGGGGGGGGGGTTCGCCCCCCTGTCTAACTCTGTAAATAAGGGAGCTGCGGAAACAAAAGCGATACCAAACGAAAGTTCCTTACGAGACAATTCTAATGCACCTAAAATTTTTGACCTCAGGTCAATTTTCAAGGTCAGAGGTCAAGGTCAAAGGCAAAAACCGCCACATGTGTAGTGATCTCAAAGTAAGCCTTCTAGAGGACGGCAGACTGCATCAAACCGGCAAAATTGGCTGTCAAACGAAAGAAGAGAATCTGAGGATTCTGAAAATGTGCTCAAAGTGAAAGGTCAAGGTCAAAGTCACGCTCAAAATTGACCTCAACCTTGGCACTTTTTCGCAAATCTTGCGTGCTAACTTCCAAGATGTTTTGAAATGTTTTGAGGCTTATCAGTTCCCTATTTGTGGTTCATCTTACGATACCTAGGCTGCTCAAAGGTCAAGGTCACAGAAGAGTATCCCTGCTAGAGGCTATTTCACTGATTCAAGTTAGTGCCTAATAATAAATAAGACAATTTTGCAATCCGGAAGCTCTAAATGAAGGCTTAGAGGAAAATAGATGCCAGATTCGTGATCAGTAGGTACAAATCCATCATAAACGACCTTTCATGTGTCAAGGTCAACCAGAGGTCATTCGAGGTCACATGAGGTCAACATAAAATTTGACCTTTTCCGAACAAAATATATATCATTCGACGCGGCTTGACAAGGCGAATGCGATGGTACCACTGCCGTAGCTCTAGGACCATTTTTGTCGAAGTTATTTGCGAAAACTAAAACCACATTTCGGGGTCGTTGACCTGACCTCTGACCTCAGGTCACTAAAACTATTTTTCTATTTTTCTCTAGGTCAAACGCTACACAACCGTGCTCGTAATTTGTCTTTATCTCTAAAACTATTTTTAGCAGCTATTTGAAGTTTGCGTCTGTGACGCCGAAGTTTGCCGTGCAGGGGTCTAGAAAAATGGACCTTGTGACGTCATCAAGGGGGCTAGGTCCAAATTTTTTACTTCAGAAGATGTCAAATTGATGGGAGAAAAGGTACTGAAAGTTTCGCCTTCCTATCCCTAAGTGTTCGTGAGCTATCGCAAATCATCGCCAGGGGGGGGGGGGCGAAAAACGCCCCCCCCCCCGGGCCCGCGAGGGTTAAGCAGGCTTTTGTTATCTTTTAAAAAAGTAGTTTGGAACTTTAAGAACACTATTTGTTTTGTTTGTATAATAGGGGTCCTGCCTGACATGTTATTTTCTCTCATCTAAAAAATAAGCATTTGGTCATTCCAGTCAATGTCCACATTCAGTTTTGTGGTGTGGCCTGACATTGCTAGCATGGTATTTGCTGGAGTAATGATCATCATTCATGGTATGTGTGTATGTGACCAATAAGGAATGGGCTGCATTATACTTGCTTATGCCCAAATTTGGTATGATAACCTAATTTAAATTGACCTCATGTTCCTGGTCAATCCTATGATGCATACCTATTACCTATTCTCTCCATACATGTATCCATTAGTTCTTTATTTCACTACGTGCCCCGGACCACGAGCAGTCGTGACTCCCGAGTAGCTGTCAGATGTGATCGAGGTCCACCACGTTCTCAGGCAATTACTGTCAGCTTCATACGTATCGCCTACGGGTGGCGCCACCTTCGGCGACCTGTAGTGTTGGTAGGCGCTGGTGAGTTCGTTCGTGTCGGCCGAAATGAGTTGGGAGGAATCTCGCCGCAATAAAGGAGCTCTCACTCACTTCCGGGCTAGGCCGGACTGTCTCGGTGAATCTCGGTGAATAAAATGGCAGGCGTCAGTAATCGGTGTCCCATGCCATCCCGTGACGAAGCAGCTGAACCGGAGGGCCGATGACAGTTAATTTACGGGACTTCCCTGGCTGAGTGAGCGAATCCGTTAGAAAGGACAAACAGTTCATGCAGAGCGAGTGCTAGGGAATAGGGCCTTTTGTATGTACGTATTTCAAGTTCGCAAATATAAAAAAGTCACATGAGGTTTGATTTTGTCAATTATTTCACGACCTCCGCTGCATGTCGTGATTCCATTAAAAGGACAAGCTGCAAGCAGTTACCTGCTGAAACAAATTATTACGGAATGCAGTTAAAATATGCTGTTAGTTTTTAGCAGTTATGTGCTGCCTTTCAGTAATCTAGTGGCATCCTTGTTGAAGAGCTGGTGAAACCATGGTGAAACCCTCACATCCGACTACTCATGCAAATGCCACGGCGGATTTTCCTGCCACTGCGGGGTTGTCTCCCGTTAGAGTAGCGATAATGGCTCGGGGTGAGCCGTGTTATGGGCGTGGCGCGACGAGCGATTCCACGAGTCGGCTTACGGGCCGGTCCGGCGTGCACCGCTGACACATTCCGACCCAGTCCCCCGCAAGGCCGCTGACGGACGGTCGGCCCCGTCAGTTCGTAGTCGCGGCGGCCAGGGCACAGATATGGCACCGGGTAGGTACTGCTGGGTCCGGCTTACAGCATGGACATCGCCTGCTGCAGGGGCCCGCGGTGTTTCCTAGTCTGGGTTTGTAAACAACTTGATATGCTCAAACTTTATTTCAATTTATTAGCTTGGTTGTACGAGCACCGTTGCACTGTTTGTAGCCACTCCTCCCGATCGATAATAGTTTCAGTGTAACAGAGATAATTTGGGCCCGAAC